CTGAGCGTAAGGCATCGAGCCACTCTCAAACCAACAGTCAAACACCTGCAGCAGCAGCAGCAGCAGCAGCAGCAGCAGCAGCAGCAGCAACAGCAACAGCAACAACGACATTAATACAAGTAGCAGCAGAAGCAGCAGCAGCAGCAGCAGCAGCAGCAGCAGCAGACCTCTTCAACTCTCTTAAGCGGTGGAAACTCCTTTCCTCTGGAGTCATAAAAACCACCAAAAGCAGCAGCAGCAGCACCACTCTCAGCAGCAGCAGCAGCAGCAGCACCACAACCACCACCACAACCCTCAGCAGCAGCAGCAGCAGCAGCAGCAGCAGCAGCACTCCCAGCAGCAGCAGCAGCAGCAGCAGCAGCAGCAAACCTCTTCAACTCTCCTAAGACGAGGAAATTCCTTTCCTCTGGGGTCAAAAAAACCACCACCAAAAGCAGCAGCAACGCCAACAGCAGCAGCAGCAGCAGCAGCAGCAGCAGCAGCAGCATCACTTTCAGCAGCAGCAGCAGCAGCAGCAGCAGCAGCAGCAAACCTCTTCAACTCTCCTAAGAGGAGGAAATTCCTTTCCTCTGGGGTCAGGTATAAGAATATCATCGATGCTGTCTCTATGCAGGTCAGGGAGGGGGCGGCCAGCATAAGCTTCTAGCTCTGCTGCACTACCTGCAGCAGCAGCAGCAGCAGCAGCAGCAGCAGCAGCAGCAGCAGGAGTAGCAGCAGCAGCAGGAGTAGCAGCAGCAGCAGGAGTAGGAGTAGAAAGCAGGAGTAGCAGCAGGAGTAGCAGCAGGAGAAGCAGCAGGAGTAGTAGGGGGAGGAGGAGGAGGAGCAGCAGCAGCAGCAGCTGCAGCAGCTGCAGCAGCAGCAGCAGCAGCTGCTGCTGCAGCAGCTTACCGATGCAAACAACCTGTGTGTATACTCCTCACTAACCCAGAGTGGGAGATGTATCACCAGCAGCAGCATCAGCAGCAGCAGCAGCAGCAGCAGCAGGAAAAAACCAAAACCACCACAACCACCACCAAAACCACCAAAACCACCACAACAACCAGCAGCAGCAGCAGCACCACCACCACCACAACCGGCAGCAGCAGCAGCAGCTCACCGATGCAAACAACCTGTGTATAATCCTCACTAACCCAAAGAGGAAGAGGGGTCCCCCAGAACCATCAGCAGCAGCAGCAGCAGCAGCAGCAGCAGAAAAAAACCAAAACCAGCACAACCACCACCAAACCAACCGCAGCAGCAGCAGCAGCAGCAGCAGCAGCAGCAGCAGCAGCAGCAGCAGCAACTCATCGATGCAAACAACTTGTGTATAATCCTCACTAACCCAAAGAGGAAGAGGAGTGCCCCAGAATCTATTTCTGCTGATGCAGCAGCAGCAGCAGCAGCAGCAGCAGCAGGAAAAAACCAAAACCAGCACAACCACCACCAAACCAACAGCAGCAGCAGCAGCAGCAGCAGCAGCAGCAGCAGCAGGAGCTCACCAATGCAGACAACCTGTGTATAA